TCGGGGGCACTAAGCCGCTCTCGGACCGGCTCGGGGCCGGTTCGGGGTCACTAAGCCGGGCTCGGGCCGGGACCCGGGGCCGGTTCCGGGGCACTAAGCCGGGCTCGGACCGGCTCGGGGTCACTAAGCCGGGCTCGGGCCGGGCCCCGGGGCCGGTTCGGGGGCACTAAGCCGCTCTCGGACCGGCTCGGGGCCGGTTCGCGGCCGTACCTCGGACCCTCGGCCGCCCCTCACCGGACCGTCCTCACGCAGCCCTGCTGGGCGGGCACCCCCGCCGCCCAATGGGCGCCCGCCATTCACATCTCGGCGCTGCTGATTGGAGCGTTAAGGGTCCCCAGGGGATGATTGGCACCTGCGAGGGCCAATCGCCGGGCAATAAAAGGCAGAGGCGGGAAGGGCCGGACGGTCCCGGGGGTCCCGGACCGGTCTCGGGGGTCCCGGGCAGATCTCGGGGGTCCCGGACCGGTCTCGGGGGTCCCAGGCTGGTCTCGGGGGTCCCGGGCAGATCGCAGCTCCCGCAGCACCGTGCGAGGCCATGAAGCGACAATAAACTCTCCCCACGCGTTCCCTTCCCCAGCACACACCGGGCTTTATTGGGGGTGGGGACCCCCGGGGACAGGACCCCTCCCCAAAAGGAGGGGAGCCCCGGGGACGGGACCCCTCCCTAGAAGGAGGGGACCCCCGGGGTCAGACGTCCAGGCGGCACATGGGGCTGTCGTAGACCATCTGCAGGTTGACACGGTGCCCCACCAGCTCCCGGATGTTGTTGATGCCGTATTTGATCATGGTGGGTCTGGGGGGGAAGGTGAGATTTGGGGGGTCAGGGGGTGGGATGGGCCCACATTGGGGTCCCCCCCCTAGGTGAACCCCCCCACTCACCGCTCCAGCGACAGCCCCCAGGCGATGACGGAGACGTTCTCGGGGAGCCCCATGGGCAGCAGCAGCTCGGGGCGGAAGACCCCCGAGTTTCCCACCTCCACCCACTTCTTCAGCCCTGGGGGGCGAGGGGGGCAGACGAGGATCAGCACCCACAGACCCCCTCCCCATATCAGAACCCCACAGCGCTCCCCCCGCTCCAGGGGAGCTCAAGGTCATCCCCAGACCCCCAGCTCTAAGAGAAAACCCCCCCAAGACCCCCCTGCTCCAAGTGGGGACCCCCCCTCACCCTCGTGGTAGCTGAACACCTCCATGCTGGGCTCCGTGTAGGGGTTGTAGGCAGGTTTGAAACGCAGCTGGGAGATGCCTGGGGGGCACACGGGGGGTCAGGGGGGCACACGGGGGGTCCGAGGGGTCCCCCCCAGTGCCCCCCGTGTACCCAGCTTGGTGAAGAACTGCCGGAGGATGCCCATGAGGTGGCCCAGGGTGAGCCCCCGGTCGGCCACCAGCCCCTCGACCTGGTGGAACTCGGCCAAGTGCGTCGCGTCCAGGCTCTCGTTGCGGAACACGCGGTCGATGGAGAAATATTTCACGGGGGCGAACTTCTCCTGGGGTGTGGGAGGGGAGATACACGGGGATGATGGGGGGCAGCTGGGACCCCCAGACTGCCCCACAACTGCTCTGATCCTCCTCAAGCTGCTCCGAGCTTCCTGAGCCCCCAACAACGCTGAGCCTCCTAAACCGATCTGAGCCCCCCGAATCCCACCCGCACCCAAAACCCACTAATCCCCCCCAAAAAATCCCTCTGTTCCCCCTCGTGGGAACCCCCCCAGACCCTGCCTGGGCTCCCAAAGCCCCTCAGACCCTCCCCAAGCCCCCAGACCTGCCGTGCCAGCTGGAACAGGGCGCGGGCGCTGGCTGACGTGGTGTGGGTCCTCAGCAGGTTCTTCCGCGCCTCCTCCACCTTCCACTCATACCTGTACCTGGG